TTTCTGGGAGTTGAAGTCCAAGAACATCTGGAGGCCCAAGGTTGGGGACCACTGTCGTAGGGGATCAAGAGGTCTCGAGAGGAGTGGGCCACAACCAGCTCTCTGGAAGATTTCTCTCCCCTAGACAGAAGATCCAGCTTGGCGCCATGTTCTGGTGATTTAGCTGCACTGCACACACAATCAGGAGATTACACCCTTGGAGGAAACATAGTTATCTCCAGGGAGGAAAGTGAGTAAATGAATTGAACCTTAGCCCCGCTGGACTATATACAGAGAGAGAACTGAATAACTTAACACCTAAACAAATAAGAAACATATCTTTTGTTATACTTTCACACAAACGCAGCCCCCTCTTAAAGAGAAGTAAAGCAGAGAAACGAAGTGGCATGGAAGCCTTTATCTTTTGTGGACAAGTCCCTGCATCAGACATAAGAGAAACAGATTCAACATGGCACATATTTATACATGGCATCAAAATATAGATATCAAATGCAGAGATTGTGGTTGGTTGGTAAGAAATCAGTGGGTGTATAACATTGTGGTGACAGCGTCCACAGTGTCTGATGAAGTGGACTTGTCCACAAAATCTCACATTAAAAAAAGATAGAAGTTAGTCTTTAAGGTGCCACCATGATTTTTGCTTTTACCTATAATCGTTACAGATAAGGTAGGCACTCTGCCTAGTAAGGACTGCTGCTTTGCATAATGTTCTGCTGGCTTGACTGAAGAAGAGGGAGAGTTGGATGAAAAACTGTGTAACAAAAAGAGCTGACCCTGTTTTAAAGGACACAGATTCCAAGGCAGTTGGTCTTCAGAGGAAAACAGAAGAGACTGGGCCTTTCATTCTGTTATATATTCCTCCTACAAATGGCACTTTCAAGACCCTGGTTTGCCCTAAAAGGTTGCTAGGAACCGTAGTTTGGTGTGGGCGCTGAGAATTCTGTATCAGAAATATGATGACAGAACAATAGTTCTCTGAATCCCTAGAGAGGATCCATTCCACCAGAGATGACCTCTGAAATTCAAATCACTGACCTTTGCTTTTGGGCTTCCTTTCCTTAATTTCACTAGATGGAGAGTCTTTATGGGTCTTCCTTTTTGGCTTTTGTGGTGGGTCTTCACTTTCTCTCTCTTCCTCTTCATCATCATCTTCGTCTTCAGAGTCCTCTAGAAGGTTATAGTTTTAACCAATAGGCATTGAAAGAGGGAAACAAACAACCACATCAAAGAATATAACAAAAATATTATGAAAATTCTCAGAGGCACTGGGTTGCACATTGATATTTTTTGAAGGTTTGGGATCTGAGGACTTCCATGCAGAACAGCCAGTAATTTTTTAAATTAGTATAGCAATGAAGAATTTATCCACAGGATCTTACAAAGTGTGTTCTGAGTCCGTTTTTTCCTCATTTGCATGATCCTCCCCAGAGTTCTTAATGAAGCCAGATAGATGGGGGAAATGCCTTATTTTGGGGGCTTTGGCAGTTTCATCATGATAGCACATGAAACCAATGAAATTTTTTTTTAAAAAAAAAAGTAGGATTGGGGAACTCTGCATTGTACCTCTGGAAAGCTTCACAGCTTTTAGGTTAGGGCTATGACTGCAATATGCATTGCAGGTCTATAATGCAATATGTGGTGGGGAAAACAATATCAAGAATCAATATTTTAAAATTTTGGATGCCTGAGATCCAAGAAAGATGCAAAAAAAATTCCTTTAAGAGATATGAACAAGGTTCAACAACTATAGTTCTATATAGCAGTTTTATAAGCAGAGTGAAGAAGTAACAAGAAATGTGAACTCAGGCAAGCTTAGTCCAGGTGCAGAGCAAAGAATCTATGGGACTGACTCACCTTTCTAGTTGAGGCTAATAATTTACTATTACCATGCAAATCACAGATACAAATGTACTGGCCCAGTAAATAGGTGTATGAACTATTTCGAACGGTTTTTTTCCACAGCTTTTACGTTTCCCATTCAAATGGCTTGAGATTTCTAGGAACTCTACTTTTCTTTTTCCATTCTTTATTGCTAAAATTTTGAATGAAAGCCCTGGCCAGTCCTGGCCCAAGAGTCCCCATGTTGGAGAAAATCCTCATATTGAAAAGATTCATTTTTTCATAACCTTCCACTGCATATCTTCCATGTATAATGTCAATGTTTGTGAGCTGGTATTGGCATGAATTCTTCTGGCATGTCCTTGCTTTACAGGCCATTTTAGCACCAGTACCTGAACTGAACTCAGAAACAAACTAGAAGCCATTGTTGCTGACTCAAGACCAGTGTTATGAAGTGCACATCCGATAACAGTCTGGCTGCCACATTTCGCACTGGGTATAACCTCTGAATGCTTTTCAAAGGCAGCCCCACATGTGGTGCATTGCAATAATCTAATTGAGAGGTACAGTATTTATGGTATGAATCGCTGTGGCCAAACTCAACGTCTTTAGGAAGGGGCCCAGCTGGTATGGCACGCCTGGTCATAAAAGCCACTGGGCTCCTTGGAAGTAATGCTAGGTTTAATATGACCCCAAAACTATGAAGCTGGTCTATTAGTGGGTTATAGCCCCATCTGTAACAAGCTATAAACCCAATCCCAAACTGGCCTTTTCGTTCATCAACAGAACTTCTGTCCTGTTTGAAGTGGGCCTCAATTTGTTCACCTCTCCCTGATCCCTCACTGCACCCACACAGCTATGCAGGGACTTCTATAGTCTCATTGACATTAGCAGAGAAAGAGAGTTGGGTATCATCACCATAATGGTAAGCTCCAACCCTCAAATTTGAAGTGATCTTCTCCAGTGGCTTCATGCAAATACTAAGAAACAGAGGGGGCAATACTAACCTTTAAGTTCTTTCCCCATGCTAACAGCAAGGAGGCTGAAAAGCTGACCATCAATACCATCTTTTGACTAGACAGGAACTACTCTAAAACAATTTTCCCTCCCCAAGTTCTATAGTAGCCAATTATATAACAGAATGAAAGGCCCAAATAGACCAGAAGGATATCATGATCTGTGGTATCAAATGCCATTGAGGGGTCCACCAGAACTACGGGGGATGCACTCCTCCTGCCTGGTTCCATCTGCCAAGATGAGCAAGCCTGTTTCTGTCCCTAAACCTGGCCTGAACCCAGATTAGAATGGATCCAAAATGGAGCACTCTCTGGAAGTCCACTGCTGCTTGAAGGGCTGCTTCCTAGTATGGCTGATCTAGGCTGGCACATGGGAAGTGGCAGTGCCCCCTACCTTGTTTCTTCTTTGGTGCCTTTACCACGTGGAGATGGGAAGCAGGCTTTTCTTTCTTTTTAATGGGATCCTTAGTAACTTTGGCATGTTGGTCCTTCTCACTTTCGTCTCCAGGCTTCTCTTCTTTCTTCTTTCTCACTTTTCTGATGGCAGCTTATGATAAAGAGTCAGGATAAGGAAGGGAGACAGCTAGGCTCTCAATATAATGACAGACAGAAAATGGGAGGCGATACGGTTATGAGGAATTGGGCAGGCTCATGTGAGAGCTCTTCCTAAGATGTGTCACATCTTAGTATCTTGTGAGGCGTAAATAATATACAGTATGGGAAGAAGGGACCCAATTGTCCTTCAGCAAGAGGCGAACCCAGTACCTCTGTGAGGACGGAAAGCAGATCTTGGCATAAATTTATTATTTTAAAAAATGAGGCTAATCTACTCGTAACAACTTTTAACTCCCAAAGGACCAAATCCCATTAACATAGTGACTTAAACTAATTAGGTCCTATCTAGTTTTACAGTCACCCACAAGTTTAATTGATTTATATAATCTGTTCTGCCAGGGCTGTTGTCAGCTCTGAAGGCAGAGGAAGAGCCCGAGCCGTCATCAGGGATGGAACAACACGTTTGCCTCAAGCCATTGTCAATGCGAAGTGATTTTCGTAATTTCACAAGTCATATGCCTTTCTGTTCCTTAATACAATGCACATTTAAAAACTAACTAAAAACATGGATGTTCATGCAGGCCTTCCCTCCAGTCAATACTTGATCTTTACTCTTCATTTACCTTTTTATTTATTTTTATTTTTTCCATCTTGTAGAATCTGTCATTTAATGTAATTACTTCTTGTGTTATATTTATTTGTTGTTTTTATGTATATATCTGGAAGCCGCCTAGAGTGGTCGAAAGACCAGATAGGTGGGATATAAAATAAAATAAAATAAAATCAATACAGTAAAACTTTGGCTGAGGAAGACAGCCCTTCCTCTTCTGCAGGGCTTGTTTGTTTGCCGGGCAGCTAGAGAGCATGTTGGCAGTGGCAAGTGGCAAGCAAACAGCAGCCTTTATGACACCTAGGGAGAGCCCCATAGTGCCTGCCAACATGTTCTCCTCAGCCACCATCATCCAGGTACCAACTGGGCAAGCACGTTTTGCAGATAACAAAGGGTAGCCTGCTTCATATGTGGCAAAACAGCCGGTGATGCTGTGGGCAACGTTGCTGAGCGGCTGGGGCTGGGAGGCTTCCCGGCTACTTTAGCACTGACCAGCCAGCACTGTTCTTGCCTGAGGGAGCAGCCAGCAGCTTTGTTTTTACCACATTAAAATATGCCTGTGGTGGGAGGGGTTTCACTCCAGATTGCAGATATCTCTCAGTCAAAAGCTTTCTTTGGTTCATCTGCAACACGTAGTTCTAGCCCAGGAGAAGGGTCGCTGATCATGGGACCAACAGCAATGGAGCATGCGGGGGTGGGGATGAGTGGATGCAATGTGAAACTCTGCGTAGAGGATGGGTTGGAAAAAGGTACCGCTCAGCAAACCCATGATAATGTAGGGCATATATAACAGCCTCCCTCTGTCTCTGTATATTATGACATTGCATCTCCACTTTTAATGAGGCTTCTTTATTCTAAGCGAGTGAAAAAGGAAAGGACGTAGCTATTTAGTAGCATAGAAGAATGTCAGCATATTCTCAGAGGCACTAAAAATGTTTTTGGTTAATAATTCTCCACCACCCAACCTTAGGTAACCGAGGTGTTCTTGGACTGCAACTCTCAGACACCGTCACCACTAGCTGTGCTGACCAGGGTTTCTGGGAACTGCACTCCCAGAACATCTGGGTTACCCAAGGTTGGGAACCACTGTTTTACTAGATGTTCTTTGTAGCCATTTATCGTTGCACGCCAGTATTGCACTGGATCAGTGTCCCCCTAACTGGAATAAAGGCAGCATTCTTGATTAACCTTTAATTGATTAATCCAAATGAATAGTCCAGTGTTTTCAGGATGAGTGTACAATATAAGTGTTGCTGGGGACAGAAACAGGAAGAAGGGAAGAGAGATGTGGGTCATAAGAACATAAGAAGAGACCTGCTGGATCAGGCCAAGGGCCCATCTAGTCCAGCTTTCTGTATTTCACAGTGGCCCCACCAGATGCCTCTGGGAGCACACGAGACAACAAGATACCTGTCTCCTGATACCCCTCCCCTGCATCTGGCATTTTAAGGTTCCTTCCATTTAAGCCTGGAGATTATACATCCCCACCTGTGATGGAATTTTCCTCCAGGAATCTGTCCTATCCTTTTTTAAAGGTATCTAGGCAGATGCCAGCACCACATGCTGTGGCAAGAAGTTCCACAAACTAACAACACGCTGGGTAAAGAAATATTTTCTTTTGTCTGTTTTCACTCTCCCAACACTCAATTTCAGTGGATGTCCTCTGGTTCTGGTATTGTGTGAGAGGGAAAAGAGCTTCTCTCTATCCACTTTATCCACCCCCTGCATAATTTTATAGGTTTCAATCATGTCCCCTCTCAGGCGCCTTTTCTCTTGACTAAAGAGCACCAAACACTGTAGCCTTTCCTCATAAGGGAGGTGCCCCAGCCCAGTTATCATTTTAGTTGCTCTCTTCTGCACCTTTTCCAGTTCCACTATGTCTTTTTGAGGTGAGGTTTTACCATTATTTTGTATAATGCAAATGTATAATGGCATTATAATGCTGGCTGTTTTATTTTTCAATCTCTTTTTAGCATGGAATTGGCCTTTTTCACTGTTTCCACACTCTGAGTTGACACTTAAATCAAGTTATCCACCAACACACCAAGATCTCTTTCTGGATCCATCACGGACAGCTCAGAACCTATTAGCCAATAACTAACGTTTAGAATTTTTTTGCCCCAATTTCTTATATTGAAACACATTTGCCATCTTGCCCCCCATTTTTCCAGTTTGGAGAGATCCTTCTGGAGCTCTTCACAATCCCTTCTGGTCTTCACCACCCGGGAAAGTTTTGTGTCATCTGCAAATATGGCCACCTCACAGCTTATCCCTGTCTCCAGGTCATTTATGAACAAGTTAAAAATCACCAGTCCCAGGACAGACCACTGGGGCACACTGCTTTTCGCCTCTCTCCATTGTGAAAATTGCCCATTGACACCTACTTCTGTTTCCTGGTTCTCAACCAATTCTTGGTCCATAAGAGGACCTGCCCTCTTATCCCCTGACTGTGGAGTTTTCTCAGCAGCCTTTGGTGAGGGACCATGTCAAACACCTTCAGAAAATCCATATAGACAATATCCACTGGTTTGCCCGCATCCACATGCCTGTTGGTGTTTTCAAAGAATTCTAAAAGGTTTGTGAGGCAAGAATTACCCTTACAGAAGCCATGCTGATTTTCCCTCAGCAAGACTTGTTCTTCTATATGTTTTAAGATCAGCAATAAAAGTTCATTAAAAAGGTATTAGACCTATGCTTTAGAACAGCAACCTAGCATTTTCCAAATACATTGGGAATACAAATTCTACTATTGTCAGCTAGCAATTGAATTGTGAGATCTGTAATTGAAGGCATTTGGAAAGTGACAGGTTGGGGGCCCCAATTTAAATTATAACATGGTTAATTGAAAATATTCCCCACTTATGTTAGTTTAAGCAAAATTAAATTCTTGGGTTCCCTAGTTACAATTCTAATGAATTAGGCCTTGTGTAGTAATATTCCAGACACATGAGGAAGTGAAAAGAGGAAGGAGAAAATCAGTAGTAGCTAACAAACTTTGTATGCATGAAGATTCCATCCTAGCATGTCAAGTCAAGGTTCTCAAGCAGCATGATTAGGAAAGAACTTCTGTGTGAAGTTTCAGGAGTAGAGATGGGGGTATTCATATTTGTATATAAATACAAATACCCCCGCACAGCTGGACTCAATGAGGGTCCGGCCTCATGTAGGGGGAGGGAGGGTGAATAGCTGCATGGCTGCTCAGTGGCTAGATGAGTGGAAAGAGAGCTCCAGGAGTGATTGGAAGGCTGACTGAGGGTGCCGCCAGTGCTGGATGTGTGAGTGGATGGTCCAGCCCCAGTGGCCAGATCCTCCTTAAGTCCAGCTGTGCGAGGGTATTTGTATTTGTATAGGAATACCCCCATCTCTATTCAGGAGAGCTGTTGAGTTACTGCCAGCTAGCATGGTCAATGCTGGAACCAGCAGTTTGACTCAGTATAACACAACTCTACATGTTCAGTTAGGATAATATCTGGACCACTGACTCTATCCCTTACCTTGAGTGGGGGGAGTGAGTTTATCTGCTGGTCCTGATTCCTTTTGCTTTTTCACTCTGGATTTTTTTGGCTTGGCTTCCAATGTAGCTTCTTGCAATTTCTTCTTGGGTTTCTGTTCCAACAAACGTGGCTGTATGAGGGAACACAGGTTGTGAGAACTAGTGGAAACCAACATCTCTCCCTTGAAATTGTCTTTTGCATGTATTCTTGGGCATTTTAAACATCTGCTTATGACAGGGGTGAGGGAACTTTTTAACCTTTTACCCCCCCCCCAATAAAATTTATATACACCGACATTACCCCCTTGATTTGAAAGGAAGGAAATCAGACATTATTTGAATTCAAAATATTATTGAATCTATTCAAAATTACTTTGAAAGCTTCAATTTACTTGAAAACTTCAGGTTTTGGAGAAATGATGTTGCTTTATATTGGATATGAGAGCATCAATATTGGGGCTCTGCTCATCCTCATTACCCCCAGGATTTTCATTTTTACCCCATTTGGGGTAATTTACCCCTGTTCCCTGACCACTGGCTTATGAGAATATGCACCATGGCATATGTTTATTTGTGTGTACATGCTTGTGCGTGCATGCATGCACAATTCATTCTGGATGGCCACAAAAATAAGTGAAAGAGAGAAGGAACCTATAACCATCAGGAGAGTAACTCCATGTGTTTCAAAGCAAACAACCCCTTGTTGCCAATTTGAAAAAACCATCCACTACTGCCAATCCCACACAATTGAAACCCAAGAATCATGCCTCCAAAATGAAGAGGTTGGTGAAAACAAAATGAGTTTGGCATGTTTCTGTGTGGCTTCTGGTTTAAAATATTGAGGGAATACACTATAATCATGTTAGCATGTCAGGCCCCAAACAAAAGAAAAAAATAGTAAAGAAGACAAAAACGTTGAAGACTAACTGCTGTATTTTAATATGACCGTAGCATGCTAGCATGGATTTTTTTGCAACAGTCAGGATTAATAAAAACTAGGGAAGGGGATAATAATTTATTTTGCTTTTCTCCGAGGTCTGTTGATTGGATCCAGCCTTAGTCATGATTAGAGTATGCCCACTAAAATCAATGAGACTTCAATTAATCATAACTAATTGTCCCGTTGGTTTTAGTGGAAAATGACTAAGGCTGGATCCAACTCAATGACAATATTAAACAATAGGAGTTAACTAATGTGCTTTCGCCATCCCACTTCTACCATCTGCTTATTTATACTAAACAAGGCCAAAGAAAATGTGATGAAACCCCATTGTTACCGAACAATGATGCAGAGGGCGGAGCCAACTACACCCATCTTGCATGAACCTTGGATTATTTTGGCAGCATCATAGTTAGCACTATGTACATTGCTCAGAAGGAGACAGCCTCCCCCCTTCCTTGTGGGTGGGGGGGGGAAGAAAGAGGTGTCAGCATTTCTACAAATCACTTGTCATAGCAGCAGCCACCACAAAACAACAGGAATACATGGGGGAAGATATATCAATAACATTTTTTAAAGTCTTTTTAAAGGGGGGGTTGGGTTGGGACCGACATTGCCCCAGAATCATAATAATGAAACGATCGATTTAAAATACTTGTCCAGTGTAGTCTGCTAAAATAGTTTAAATACCTGGAAATGAAATGATTCTTTTAACAACAATGTGAACGTACCCACTTATATGCACCACGTGACGGCATTTCAAAATGCATTGATTCCAAAAAGGGGTAAAATAAAATGATTCTTATGGCACCTGTGATTAAGGCCATCCATAGAAATGATACAGAGCCACTTGTTTCCAAATTATTTAATGGTGTATTTTGATTTACAACTATTAAAACCAGAACGCTGGTATTCTTCAACATCTACCTGGGACAATGCCTTGTCTTTTCTGTGTCAAGCTGTATGGTCCGTTTCATAAACAGTAATAAACCTACAGCACCTCTCTAAAATAATGAACATTAGAGCTTTAACAAAAATTGTACCACTAAATCCACTGTGAATTCTGAGGCGGGATGTCTTCTGAATACTCAGTATCCACTATTTAATTTCAGAGACCTAGTATTTGATATGTGACAGCTTCTGTAGGTAGACTGTGAAGTCCAATAAAGGACAAAACACAATAAATTTTACTTCAGTTTTCATATGTAAACAATGCAAACACAAAAGCCTGCCATTAAATTTTTGTTGTTGTTTAGTCGTTAAGTTGTGTCCGACTCTTTGTGACCCCATGGACCAGAGCATGCCAGGCCCTCCTGTCTTCCACTGCCTCCCGGAGTTTGGACAAATTGTTGGTAGTTTAAATCAGTGGTTCTTAACCTTTGTTACTCAGGTGTTTTTGAACTGCAACTCCCAGAAACCTCAGCCAGCAGAGCTGATGGTGAAGGCTTCTGGGAGTTGCAGTCCAAAAACATCTGAGTAACAAAGGTTAAGAACCAGTGGTTTAAATGACACTGTCCAGCCATGCTGTCATATTGAGTGTAGCATCTTAACAGTGTCATCTTTTAAGATTTTAAATAGTTCAACTGGAATGCCATCACCTCAACTGGCCTTGTTGTTAGCCATTCTTTCTAAGGCCCACTTGACTTCACTCTCCAGGCTATCTGGCTCCAGGTCAGCAACCACGCTATATAGGTTGTTCAGGACATCCAGATCTTTCTGGTATAATTCCTCTGTGCATTCTTGCCACCTCTTCTTGATGTCTTCTGCTTCTGTTAGATCCCTACCATTTTTGTCTTTTATCATGTCCATCTTTGCACTAAATGTTCCTTTAACATCTTCAATTTTCTTGAACAGGTCTCTGGTTTTTCCCTTATTTTCCTCTATAGTATTTCTTTGCACTGTTCATTTAAGAAGGCCCTCATCTCTTCTTGCTATTTTTTGGAAATAATGTCATTAAATACCACATTCAAATTTAAAAAAAAAACAGTCATCTAAATAACTTACCAGTCAGAACCCCAAATGACAGCAAAGAGGCAAACAAATGACAAGATATTTATTAAGTGGGCAGAGATTTAAAAAAAAAAAAAACAGATTACTAGCTTGAAGACATTGCATTTGATGCAGTACAGGCATATCTTACTACATGACAGGCTTTCCCTTAGTGACTGGCTGTCCAAGAGGGCATCCATAGTGGGTGTTTAAAAACTGGATGGTTAGTATTTTGTAGCTTTTAATCTGTTTTAATAATGCTTTTTATTTAATATTGTTAGTACAATGTTCATCTAATTAAGCTTTTTAAAATAATTTATTGTTTTTAGCTATCTTTTAAAATGATGTAAGCGGTCTTGGGTCCTTTTATAGGTAAAAATATTTTAAATAAATAAACATATAAAAGAAACCTGAAACTGCTCCCAAGGTAGCTTGAAGGAATGAAATTCTGTTTCACATGCATCTTCCTACTGTGACAGAACAGAACAATAAAATAACTAACTGTACAGGGCTTTAAACCATTAGTTTCATATGAATGTATGTAAACATATAAATATTTTTTTAAAAAATTGTCCAGCAATAAGCTTTATACTTCAGTGAACGTGCTTAGATCTGCTATTCTGGAGCATCACATTTAGACTACAGAAATCATTAGGGAAAGAGCTGGGTGACTATACCCAGTGTTGTGTAGTGGACAGAATGACTGACTAGGACTCAGGAGACCTGGGTTTGAATCCCTGCTCAGCCATGGAAATCCAAGAGTGAGTGTGTGATGAACTGGTAAATATCTCATTTATCTTGAAAGCTCTCTTAGGGTTGCTATAAGTTGGTTCCAACTTGATGGCGTATACGTACTCTGTTTCCCCAAAAATAAGATCTAACCTGAAAATAAGCCCTAGTATGATTTTTCAGGATGCTCGTAATATGAGCTCTACCCCAAAAATAAGCTCCAGTTCAGTGAAAACCCGCCCTCCACCATTGCAACAAAGATGACATGATGGTATTTGAATAAATGTAGATTGTTGTACATGAAAAAAATAAAACATCCCCTGAAAATAAACCCTAATGCGTTTTTGGAGCAAAAAATAATATAAGACCCTGTCTTATTTTTGGGGAAACAAGGTAGTACACACAGGTGGTAACTATGTATCATGAGCATGTGCATCATACTGAACAGCAGAGCAATTAAACAAAGGCCCCATTTAGGAGCTTATTTACCATGCATCAAATGTATGAGAAAGGCTCCCTTCAGGCATCTGTGCATGTGGCACGTAGAAGGGAGACTTACATGCATGTAGTCTTCTGTTTGTACGTGCCGCCTTCTCTCGGAGGACCAGGTCTACCATGAGAAAAAGGGCTGCCAGTGGAGGTTGGCCCATTATAGCAAGTACAAGTGCTATTTCCCCACCTTTTGGCTTGGAAAGGCTGCTCAGATGACTAGAAAGTCCTCATTTCCCCCCCATCAAAGAATTAACTGCAATAGTACAAGCAGCCTAGCAAACCAATATGACAATTATCTGGTTCATGTAAATACTAAGGAGTGGTAGTGCAGTGTCTCGGCAAAGGAGGAGGAAGGGGACAAAACCAGAATTAGCCCTATATTTGACTCAACTTTCCCTTCCACTGACTCATCAGTGTTGATGGGCACCAACGACCACAGGTAGTTGCCTCCGGTGGCAGATGCTGGGAGGATGCAGAGTGTGGAAAAAGAAAGCTGTGATGATGTTGCGTATCATCCCCAGGCCTCCTTAGTCCATCACTCTATCCACTACACCACACTGGGTATCATTTGCATCTCATACTCCAAGCTATTTTATTCTAGTGAAGTAGAAAACACTGCCTGCTCATCAATCTGTGAGAAAATACTCAACTACCAGTCCAGTCAGCTTTTGTATTATGGAGTGGGAGGAGACAGTAGCTCGTTCTTCTCCTCCGGCAGCAAAATATCAAGGCACATCTCTGTTGCCACATGAACTGGAACCCCAATTAATGCATGCAGAGCTCAGAAATTTTACTTTTTAAAAATCCCATTTCCCAGAACCTCTGGTCCTGAGGTCTTAATTATATATTTATCTGGACACACATTCCTAAATCTGAATGTCCTGAATCATGGACTCCATTTATTGGAAGCTTCCAAGAAAGTTCACCATTGTGTCCTCTCGTTGACACCATGGAGGGGCACAGGATATAAATACGATTGTACACTTACAGAGCTCTAGTGAAATGTAAGCTGATTTAAAGGAGAACTGTGAGCTTCAAAGGTGTCAGAGCAATCTTGCAATGGCATAGTTGCTCTGAGGTTGAGGTCACCAGAGTGACTGGGAGGAGGAAGGAGATGGCTCAGGATTAGACACATTGCCTCTAATCCCATTCTTCAAAGGCTATAAATAATATAAATAATCATGATTGATCACATACAAGTCATATGGCTTGGGCAACGCAGGTCTAAGAAACAGATACTAGTGCAGAACCTACAAAAATCTAGCACAAGTAGATAAGAAGCAGCAGGCTCCTTGTGAGAGATTATCGATGACCAGTTTATTTGGGTCAGGCCTTTGGCTCTGTCTCTAAGCAAAAGGGAACAGCAAGAGCTACAATCTAAACTCGGCTAGGAGGAGTCACTGCGGGGAAGTGGACTAATACATGGGGACATTTGGCTTCCAAGGCTCACTTAGCCACGAAGGTAGCTGTATGAGCTCTCAGTGAAAATTAAAAAGCCCTTTCTTGAGAGGAACAGGGGATGATCTCATGGATTCAGCCTGGAGGCACCAGAGAAAGTGTGGAAGTCAAATGCAAAACACCTAAAGATCAGATCTTGATAACCTGACTTTATGATCGTCAAACAGACAAGTTCAAAACTGTGTCTTTGAGACAACCAGATCTCTTTGGGATGCAAACCTCTTCTCTTATGCTTTAAGATATAAAAGGTGCAGACTTATGCTTTAAGAGCCTGCACTCTCCCCCCCAAATTCATTACTATTTGGAAATCAGGGACCCCACCTTTATTACTACATGGCCACTATCCTGCTCATTTTTTTCTGTTATCAGTTGCCCAGAATCACTGTGGCACCAGTCACTCTTACACAAGGGCAAATGCTCCATACTCTTCCAGACAGCTAATACTGGCACTGCCACAACAGAGACACACACAGTAGCCAGAAGCATTTGTTATGGATATTAGAAGCTTAGCATGCAAATCGGGTAAAAAGCATGAGTGGGACAGATTTTCTTACCTGCTTAGTAAGTCTCTGCTGCTGAGGGCTCGCAGGCTCCTCGTTTGTACTAATGGAATGGAAGGGTGAATAAAGAAAACTGTATCAGATACAAGGCAGGCTGACTTCAGCTTGCAAAATGAAAATTTTTGTGGAACAATCCTTCATCATAGTGTTCTCTGTATAGGAGCACAATTACGTGGTTGAGAAATTAGGTATGATCCTGTCTTGCACCAGTAGTTGGCACTCTATCCTATCCAGGGTATTCCCAGGCAATTGTGTTGTGGATTGTCATCATCACCCGTTTGATGAGCAGGTGTACCAACATGACACAGATTGTCATTTCCACATCAGGTAAGTGCAACACTTTCTCGTTACCAATATTACAAAATCTTTAGCAACTGCAAAATGCGGATAGAAAAAGTGTTTCTGGTATTTGGTTTTCAGAACATACCACTCCAACTTAATTTTCTTAAATTTTGCCCTAGCATTCCACTCATTTCAACGTCCAATTGAAGAAAAAGTAGGGGCAAAACCCTAAACTATTTAGGACTTGGGCATCTGAAGGGTTGCTTTCTCTCAGTGAACCTGTCCACCCGTGGGATGTACTATTAGAGGCCACGCCCTGCTTGTCACCACAAACAAAGAGGCACAGGTCAGGCACTCTGTGGCCATTGCATGGAAAGCTGAGAATCTTTTCCAAAGAGATACCTAGTTGGGCCCCTCACTTATGACTTTAGATTGTTCTGTGCCATCAACTCATGGCAACCCTATGAATGAACGATTTCCAAAAGGTCCTGTCTTCAATTGCCCTGCTTATTTCTTCTAAACTCAAGCCTGTGGCTTCTTTTAAATAGTGAGTTCATCTTGTATTTGATTTTCCTCTTTTCCTACTGCCTTCCACCTTTCCCAGCATTACTGTCTTTTCCAAAGAATCCTGCCTTCTCATGATGTGCCCAAAATAGGACAGCCTCAGCATCAACGCTTTTGCCTCGAGAGATAGTTTAGGCTTGATTCAATCCAATACCCACTTGTTTATCTTTTTGGCAGTCCAGAGTATCTGCAGAACTCTCCTCCAGCACTGCATTTGAAATGAACCATTTTTTTTCCTGTCAGCTTTCACACCTATGCATGGTGATCAGAAATACAAGAGTGCCGATGACCTTCGTCTTGGTCTCCAGTGATACTTTCCGATAGGTGGCTAAAACTCTGCTGTTCAGGTTTAAAGTATTTTTACTTTCTTGCCTGCTAAATTATTTTAGGTTGACAATTGGTTTTAATGTTCTCTGTTTTTTGTTTTTGTGTTACATGCGTTAGGCTTCCTTAGGGGCCATTTTAATAAATGTGTGGGTGTATGTGTGTGGTCAGAAATTTGCTGCATATGTTGATGAAGCCATACGCGAGGTCTGATATGCATGTGTGCACGCTTACACATGCGCGCGCATGCGCACGCACGCACACACGCAAGATTTAACAATTTTTCCCCAGAAATGAATAAAAACAATGGATCAAAATCCAAGTGAATGAGGAGGAAAGATGGAGCTATCTGTTTACTCCAGGGCAGTATTTTCCAGGGCTAAGAATGCACTCACCAAAAAGTAATGTTGAACTGGGTTTTATTTCAGCTGGCCAATCTGGGATGTGACTTTAGTTTTTAGTTTTAGATTTCAGTTTTAAGCAATGATAATTGTTTCTTTTGTACATTGTTGTTAACAACAAGATGTTTTTTCTTTAGTAGGTGCCCTTGTAATGACAAAGCTATTATGTCGTTCAATAAAAATGGAATCTGAAAATAAGCATCTCAAGACGTCTTTTCCCAAAGCCTCATGAAAATGTAATGTGGAAACATAAAATGTTGAAAATATACTGTTTTATTTGTATATTACCCTTACATTATATTGTTAAGTTAGTGAGTTTGGTAAAAGCTTTCCAAGTGCTTCTGTGACCTAAAATTAGATCATTCCAAACCCCCATAACAGTTTTGTTTGTACAAAGGACACTGCCAAAAGAAAACCAAGAAGGTCTGGATATGCAAGCGCAATCTGAATTTCTGTCTTAGTTATTAGTACTGGAGCTTTTGGAAATAAGATGTGGACAAATTACTAGCACTACTGAATGGCACATCTTGTTAACAACCTGGGTTGTTAACTAGGTTGAATGAGATCAAAACGCCAGAAATGTTTAAAGAATTAGAATAGTCAAACAATTTTTAATTCACATACACATTGGCACTTCCTCGGCATATATCAGTGAAACAGAGTGAAGCAGGGTATGCTTAGTGGTGCAGGCATGATTCACTGCAAACATAACCAAATCTTCATTTCTATAGATCACAAGGCATTGCAAAGTTAAGAGATAATCTTATGTTCAAACATAGAGGCTTAAAGTGGTTTCCATTAATTCATTTTATAAGCAGGTGAGATATTGAGGGGACACTTTTGTGGAACTGTGAGTGACCATCTAATTCAACAGTGGGTGGGCGGTTTGCTGGATGACCCTTGGGTTTGACAGGAACCCTGAGACCCTCCATTTGGAGTCAGGCAACTGGATTATCTACTAAGAAAGGAACACAGAAGCTCTGAGTTGCATGCTCATCACAGGAACTTGTTCTTGGTACCAGCAACAAGGTGAACAATCCTTTCATACTAAAATCTGTTCTTGCTTGCCCCTTGCCCACCACATTCTTCTTTCATCAAAGTCCTCTGGAATGTGAGGGAGGTTTTACTTGCTGCTCTTGATCATTTGGAATCAGAAACTCTTACTGGTCACCTCTAAATCACACCAGTACATCACAATCTACCTTCTAGCTAACTGAACATATTTGGCTGCACTGAATCTTTCTTTCAACAGAACTGTCTTCTTCATTTCCCCCAGAATATTAAGTCTCAGAAAAAGCCTGAAGTCTTCATCCACCTTCTCTCCTGAGCACTGAACAATGACCAGACAGCAGAGTGAGATCAGCGTCCTCCACCTGCATTGTGTCCTCCTTGTGGGGGCTTATTTGGATTGGGCCCAGAAAGACAGGATAAGGAGAGGCATGGCAGTGACAATGTTGAGGCTGCAGTGAGCCCTCTGAGAAACAAAGACCCCTGGTATATGTTGCCCACACCCCCAAAATCGGGAGCCAGAAGTAAAGAATGAGATAAAACAGATCAGTTGCTTCCTGTTCAATAGTCATGACAGTGCAGAGCTTGGAGCTTTCACACATGCCCACCTTTGCTCATGCTGGCTGAGAGATTCTGGGAGTGACAGTCCAAAACAGAAACTTTACCCAGGCTCTGCTCTTGTGCCAATCTGTCCTCACCTAAGGATAGTGGAAACTCCTCACACTTACCCATCTGATGTCCACACCTCCCGGAGGATACCGGACTGAAGAGGCATCGTAGATGACTCAACTCTCTAATTCAAGAGGAGTGAAGGCTGAGGGCTCTGGCAAAACAAGGGAGCCACTTTTCTTCCAGACGTACACAAAGAGTGCTCCTTCTTTGGCTCCCTTCTCTCCTTCCTTTTTCTCTCTGGTGCTGGCTTCAGTGAAGTAATCTGCCCAACAAGTTATAGGATTCAAATGCTGGGTCAATCAAGGAGGAGATTTCAGCACGTCCACCCTGGGGGAGCTAGGAGTGTTCTTCCTGGGCTTTCTCATCACTCTGTCCTCAGAGTGCTCAGGCCGCTCTAGAACCTCATCACAACACTCTTTCCCAGAATGTAAATGGAATTCCTGGGCTCACAGGCAACCAGCCTCCCTGCCTGCCGCATCGGACTTCAGAGCAGGATTCTTTGGTTACCCAGCAGAGCAGGTGGTGCCTCAAGAAAACAGATGAAGAGCGGGAGGTGGAAAGCCTGGGAGATGATGAACTTTTTATTTCTTGAAACTAGGTAATAGGATTTCAAGGGGTTTGGTGGATTGCCAGCCCAGCAGGCCTGCTGGGGAGATTCTGAAGAATGGAACATCTGTCACTCTAATTCATTTAAACAGGGCCAAGGAAAGATTACTGTAGCTGTGTGTCACACTGTGCCTGCACTGCCTGCGAATGGTGAGTGCAAAATGGTGAAATCACAGACTCCATATGAAATATTGTACATTTATATCTGATCTTGAAAAAGTGACTGATTTGGGATACAATTTAAAGGATTCCCACTAGCAATCCTATGAGTTTGCTAGAGGGTTCTCTCATTTTTACAGCTACTACAAGGGGGGGGGGTTGTCAGTTAGAAACCAGCTGAAGCAGTTTAAACCTCCCCCTTTGTGTGTGGCGATCCCAAATTGGTTTGAGATCTTATATAGCTCATGTAGAATAAAAGAACAAAGAACAGGTCAGCTCACCCACACACAATATATTTAATACATGGTGTGATTTGACTTTGGGGGTCAAATCACGCATTATGCAAAAAGCTCATATCCTGCTATTAAGTTTTTCCACCAAGAATTCAAATGGATTTACAGGTGAAACCCATATTTATTTGCCAGTGACTAATGTGAAAGCAAAATCAAGCTAATTTACAAAATGAGTAGTAAACCAAGCTTGCACGGTCAGACAAGTTGTATTGTTTCAGGGTGCCTTGCCTCTAGTCACATGTTGACTGTGCCATCTAGCTTTATACTGTATGTAGATTTCAGTAGCACATCTCTTTGTCAAGATGCAAGTGAGACAAGGATCTTATGGGAGTAGGATGTGGGGAGGGGAGCTATATGGGATAGATCCACAAAGCATTAAGTCATGAAAACTACTTACTGCTAGGTAAAAGACCCCATGAAAGAATACAGTGGTGCCTCGCTAGACAGTTACCCTGCATGACAGGTTTTTTGCTAGACAATGGCTTTTTGCAATCACTATAGCGATTTGCAAAACAGTGATTCCTATGGGGGAATTTCACTGGACAATGTTTGGTCCCTGCTTCGCAAACCAATTTCCACTAGACAACGATTTTGACAGCTTCCTCCGTGCTCGCAAAACGGATGTTTTTGGGACCTAAGCTTCGCGAGACAGCTATTTAAACAGCTAATTGGCAGTTTGCAAAGTGGCTTTCCTATGGCTGATCTTCGCTAGACAACAACGATTCTTCCCCATTGGAACGCATTAAACAGGTTTCAATGCATTCCAATAGGGAAATGCTTTTCGCTAGACAATGATTTCGCTAAACAGCTATTTCAGTGGAATGGATTATCATTGTCTAGCGAGGCACCACTGTATAACATACCCAGCAGGTAGTCTTGTATGGATGGCACCAGTTAACTGAGATTAATACATTCCTTTCCTGATAGTTTTATATTGCTGAGGCTCCTTCTAAATCACTGACAGAATTAGCCTTAATTGTATAGCACTTCCTTGAAACTACTAAGTCTGCATCTGACTTTTTGGCTCATACTTTCCTTTGGGTTTAGAAGTCATGAGATTGCCATTATATACACATAAGAACAGGTGAATAGAATTGCCAATATTTTGTTGCTGATAAAGTAAATCCTCTCTTTCTTCGCCGAACTTACATATAACTGGGAATGGACTCCAAAAAGCTGGTACACACCTGATTTAATCAGACACCAGATTCTATGTCAGCGCTGAGAATAACCTAGCTGGCTCCTTGCCTGACCCAGTAGATCCCTTTGTCCTAATTCCATCTTTTCTGCCATATTTACTGCCCAATCACTTCTATATCTTTTGAAAGAAAATGTAGTTACTAATTCTCTCTTCCCTCTTGTGAGTGAGGAGGGAAGGGTCCTGTCAGTCCAAAGTCCAATGTGACTCAAAAGTTTGGAAATTTTACTTTTTGGGGACTACAAATTCCAAAGTGCCCCCAAAGAATCCTAACAATCCCGGGTGTGGTGGGAAGAGTAACATTTCAGGGTCTTGGAGTCAGCCACTGGAGACTGATACTGGCCTTTGCAAACAAGGTGGGTGTTGAGATGGATCTGTGATATGCAGATTACATGCAGAGTCTCATGATGATTGCCTGCATTTTAACATTCACCATTGCACCAGTGAGGGCAGATTAGAATCTTTCCTTCTCCTCTTTCCAGGTCTTCAGATAAATCTCTTCACACAGTGTCAGGCTTCTCTGTGCTGGCAAGAATGTGCTTAATTCGACTAAGCATTTCTGCTGAATAGACTCCATCTGTAGCCAGAGAAAGAAGATTAGGGGAACTATTCTGAGAGCATCAGGAGAGCAGTACTCAACCTCTCAGATGTGAGATTTCAGGTCTGATCACCTAAGGGGACAGCCAGCCTGACCGCCACAAGGTAACAATATAATGCAACTTTCTTTCCATATTAACTCTCTCCAGAACTGCTCTTCTAGGTCAACAGAAAATACATAATGCAGACTGTTACACATCTAGTTGTCTTATCCAGGTTTTGTGAGCACTCGATAAAGATGAAGTGAGCAAGTTCTACAAGATATTTATATTTGCCATTTTTTTCATGTTATGAATAGGAATTTTAAAATGTGAGATTCAGATTTCACAATGCTGCAAAGAAAATGTGCAGTACAGTTCAAATCTATATGGTTTGGCATCCGTTTGCAGTACAGTATTTTGATTTTGGGAATGCTCTGCTGGAAACGCTCATAAAGTCATGACATAACATTTGTTTTATCGAAAGCTAATCAAGCTAATTAATCAATAATATTTCCTAGACTCTTTCCAGGTTGTAGGATTTGATGCAAAACATCTTATCCAACCACTATAGCAGGGATGAGCAGCTTGTGGCCCTCCACATGTTGCTGGACTGCAACACCCATTAGCCCAGCATATCCAAAGCAGACATTTAGGTTTTAAAGTCAGAAAACATCTGGAGAGCTGCATGTCACCCTCCCAACCCTTCACATTGGCAGGGTCTATTATGCATTACTAGACACACGTCGCAGGCTGCCACATGGTGTAAGCAAAGAGTCCTGATGGGAGAAGGGGCTGGCTGTACCATTAGGCAGAAGGACACAGCAGAGTAGCTGACCTGGGATTCTTATGAGTGTGGTTGCCAGATCAGCTTCATCCTATCACCTGAGATTTCAGGGCCAAGTTCTGACAGAGGGAGGATTCATGTCACGGGTCAAGCCCATGATATCATAGAGATGGGACAGGTATGGGCAGTGAATAAGACATTTTCTCCAGGTATTGCCCTGCTGTCACCCAGATTGGCCTACAAAGACATTTCAGGAATGGTGATGCTGTTGCTCCACTCCCTTTCTTGATGGGCCCAACCCTTGTCACAACAAAAATCTGGGAGCAAAGGAGGAGACAGAGGAGAGAGCTGGTATGTGTACATATTTTGGGCCGTGCCATTTGGATTGACATGTGCACAAACATCTTCACACTTGATTACCATCTGGGAATGAATGAAGGTGGGTGCCCAGGCTTAAAACACACCTCACACATATAAACAAAACTGGCTCCTCAGTATAGCTTGCTTGGTCAAGTATAAGAAATGGTTGTTGCTACAGTACAACAGCAGTGGCAGAGAAAACAGGGAGAATGGTCTAATTACCTTAGGAGCAGTGATGTGTGTGTAGGCAATAGTGGCAACCCTCCATGCTGTTTGTCTTCAACTCCTCATGTACTCCCCTCTGTTGGAAGACAAAGCAGTTTTTCTCTTTCTTTCAGTGAAAGATAGCTGCTGAATTGCCACAAGTGTGGTAGAGGATTGTCAACTTCTAGAATGCTGAGGGGGAGCTCTTTCAGCTGTCTCCTCATTTGCCTAAGGTACCACATTGTTATGGGCTGGTCCTGCTCATCCTGCAATAAACGTCCACAATCTCTGCTTCCTCTGCTTCACGGTAAGTCTCAAATGGCAACATGGAAACCCAAAACATGGACCACACCTCCGTTCCACATCCTTCTCATCACCCCTCTCACATACTTCCTGGTAGTGTTGAGAATAGAGGAGTGCTCCTTGCTTTGGGTTTCCATGTTGGCAAACAATTACAGCACCAGCGGTTTAGTCTTATTTCACAACTTTCCTCCCACTAGGTGGCGTTTCACTACCATATATCATAAAGATTTCAGAGGAGTTGCACAAAATTGATCCTGTATAGGCACAGATGATGGAGGAGGAAGGAATTCCATTCCCTACCTAGGAGAGATCAGATCAGAGCAGGTGACAGGAGGGCTTGGGCTCCCCATGTGGCCCCAGAATATTGTTTTAGCTCCTTTTGCCCCTTATTTGCTGCCTGTGCTGAAAATCACTGGTAGTGGCACTGCAAAACTTCCACTGTATTTTCTACCTCTTCTTTCCTGCTGTACAGTAGATGCTCTGCTCTGCATATTATACAAATTTCCACTTTGTTCTGAAGTGTGACAGGAGACTGTGATTGGGTTCGTTAAAGATCTGAAGCAGTTCCTCCTTTTTGGCGGGAAATGACAACTGAGCCTCTTTTTGTACATCAACAGATTTGTTCAATTTGGCACTCAGGCATATTAGTAGGCATCCTTCAGTCTCAAGAGACTATGGTAACATGCTCTATATGGAGA